TAGCAGGGTTTTTGGGTGGAGGGTATGTGTACCAAACCCGAAACCCACAATCCTACTTAAAATTCGGTTTTTGTTTTTTATTTATAATCGGGTATTTGTTTAAACCAAAAAATTTGGTTCGATTTGGGCGGGTTCGTCGGGTTTTGCTCGCCCCTACATTTACCTTGTCGGATTAACATGGTAAGAGTCGATAATCTTACCCGGTAAAAACGATGACAATGATAGAAAGTCTTAACTGGTAAGTGAGGATGACGATTCTTACCTCGTAAGTGATTATTAGACAAATTGTTTGTACGACATATATCGTTTTGTTAATTGATTAAGATATGTATCACTGACAAACTTTGTTTTTATTCATATTATGTATAATTGTTATTTAAAATCACCAATTCATATGGTTTTATTAATTAACATATTATACTTGGCAAAAGTTGGTTACTGAAAATTCCATCCGGCCACACACGAAATCCGCCTCCAAGTACACAACATGAGGAGATTACTTTTTTACTCACTCAGCGGCTGAGTCTAGCCGGGGGAGGGGGATTGAACCCAAGACCTGTCTTGTATTTGGGTAGAGTGGCAACACCTCTTATCAACTGGGCTACACGCCACAAACGTTAATTAACGTATCATATTATTGGTGAATCCTTTTAATTATATTATGTAATGATTGATAAATATAAATGCGATATATACATATGGACCGAACGTATATCGGAAATTTGAGTTTTTATGTTTAATGTACTTTTTTAATAGATAAATACATGGGTTTAATTAACAGTGTCGAATGACATCAAGGAGAACCAATTCAATTGTTGTTTGACGATAGTTCTATAGAAATTCGATATTAAGGGGGTGTTTGGGATTGCTTATAAAAAGAACTTATCGACTTATGCTGGTGTAGCACCGGTGATGAGCACTTTTGAGTGTTTGGATATTTAGCTTTTACCGGTGTCAAACCGGTAATAAGAAATTTTTGAAGAATTTAAATCATTCTAACTTATAATAAGTTGATAAGGACTTTTGTAGAAAAAAAACATAAGTTATTTCAAATAAGCAATCCCAAACACCCCTTAGCGTTTGGAAAGTAGACAATTATTATCGAATTTTCCAGTAAAAAAGTAATATTCTTTTGATAATACATTTGTTATTAAATAAACTCTAAAACCTAACAGCAAAGGGCCTTTGGCCTAGCGGTATGTGAGTCTTTGGCCTCCTACAAGTCAAATATTCAAATTCCATCAAAGGTCAGGAGGGCGTTTAAATTTATTTATTTTATTTATCGTATATAAATATTATATATACAGTTGGAACTTTGTTAGAAAAAGATGTATATCTTAGGAAACTAGTCTCACGTAGGAGACTCGTGGAAATTGAACTCACTTAATAAGTACCAACATTTGAGCATTAAATAAATCATTTAAGAAATTGGGTATTGGCGTGTAGGTGTTCTCCTCGACATAAGTACATATTAAATGTTAAAGATATGGCCTTGGGGCTCACTAGATCAAGGATGCTAGACTTGTGGGAAATAGAGGTTGGCGCGGGTTGCCAAGCGACTAAAGTCGCCTGACAAGTCGCGTACAACACTAGAGTATCACAAAGGAACAAAGTCTAAAACCGAGTTCCCAAGCAGGTTAAGTCGTGCGTAAAGTCGCGTTCGCCCCTTTCGGTTTGTAAATCAGTTATGAGAGAAACGTATAAGATCCCGACTTCTTCCAACACGAATTCTCTCTCGATTCCCTCTTAATTTTTTGGGGTTCTCTCTCCTCTTTCATAAAAAATCCATCGCTAAACAAGTTTGATTCGCTAGATTAAATTCTTACTTGAATAATTTTGTTGTATCCTCTAGATGGACGTTATACCTTTTTCGTTATAGAGACTTTATTTGGAAAATTATAAAAAGATGATAAATAGACGAAAATACCCCACAATTCAATCAGATTACACATGTTTTTTTTTTATTTTGATAAAAGGAGGGACTTAAAGTGTGCATTTTTGTGTACTACAGGTACCGAAGATGTACTAAGAGGCCGTTTACCTAATCACTTACCCGGTAAGCATTTATCGGTAAAATTCAACACTATCGCTTACTTACTAGGTAAGATTTTATTCATTAAAACGTATCGTATACAACAATTTATCCCGGTAAGCGCTAACCATGGTAAGAGTTTTCGTCCTCATTTACAGGGTAAGACTCTCGATTCTTGCCTTCGCCCTTACCAGGTAAGATTTTTAGTCTTTGCCATATTCATCCGGTAAAGTAAAGTGACTTGGTAAGCGCTTACCCGGGTAAGCATTTGGTAAATGGCACCTAAATGCGTTTGAGAGACCTTACTCAAACAAACCACAAAGCAGAGGGACCAAGAATGTAAAAGCCTGATTTAATTATTTCTGGGAAAAGGCTAGAAAATCAAATAAGTTTTCGGTTTTTTTTTTATGAATGATTAAGTTCTTGAATCTTTTAAATAAATAAACATCGAGCTTTATAATTTTTAACAATTAAGCCTCTAAACATTTGTTTTGGGTACATAAATCTCGTCGAACATTTAAAAATTGGTAATTACATTCTATTAACAAAAAAAAACTATATATAACTGGTTAGAAAGATTTTAAATAATACAACTCTAAATCAGTTTTACCGTTCATGCTCTACGCCATTCAGATCTCTCGCACCCAACACCATCGCTTCGCGTCGCCGTCTTATTGTTGTCCGCTCTTCATTGGTGCTCATTGTCGTAGTTGGCCTCTACCATAGACCCCTTCTTTATTTGATTATTTTGTGTTCCGATTCTCCATTCTTTTTAATATATTTATACACACTTAACTAAATTATTAGAAAATATGGAGAATCGAAAGGAAAAAAAGAACAAATCAAATCAATAAATCGATGGCAAAAGGCAGCAACGTTTGCTCTGCTTTGTTCGACTCGACTCGTTAAGTTAAATGAGTTTTATTTAGTGTTCGAGATCGACCCGAACTCGAGAATTACTAAGCTCAAACCTTCCACTTCCGTCTTTATAGGACGTATACGGTCCTCAAGGATCTTTTTCTCTATTTTATAAGTATATATTTAATGATGTTTTTTATTAAACTTGATGACACATTGTGCATGTGGCCTCATAAATTTCATGTCACACCATACCACATTCTAAACTTTCATCTATTTTTAGCATAACCCTAAATATGCTTTATTTGGAATATTAATTCAATTTCTTAAAATATCTATCAACCTTATTTCATATTTTTCATGTCATTATCGTAACTGTCAACTAAATAATAAAGTTTGTCGTGGGCAGAGAGAAAATATTTTTTTAGTGATATATTTTATAATATAATTAATAATAAAATTTTCAAAATAATTGAAAGAGGTGGAGTTTGATATAATTTTAAAAATTTTATAAATAAAGTATTAGAAAGGGTGCAGCATTTAAAACCTTTCTTCTTATGAGTAAAAAAAATAACATATTCAAAGTTAAAAGAATATTTTAATGTATCAAAGTATCAACTCGATCAACCCGTACGGTTTGAGTTGGGTTGGGTTAAGATTTGTGTTGGGTTGTAAAGTGTCGTCAACCCGATCAACTCAACCCATGAGCATCCGAACCACCAATTGTAATTTCGATTTTATTTTTAACATAAAATTTGATTTTTTCATCAAGGTATTACATTAATTTTCAACTATCGACAATAAAATCTTCCATCAAGTTGTACCACACGATTTTCCTATAAATATCTGTTTTCAATTTTTTACCTAATTTTTCAAAACATTTAATAAAATTATCAGAAGATACCAAACTATCGTGTTAAAGTTATAAATGTGTTTTTAATATACAGAGTTTATCAATTCATCTTCGACATTCTTCAGAACCAATAAAGTTTGGAATCAAATCTGATCCACCACTCGCGGTGCATCATTTTCAATTCTAAAATAACTTTTAAGAAAAACCAGTTTTTATATAAAAAGATAAAGTTGTAACAGATATTTTTAGGTAAAATATAGAATAAAAAATTTATTAACAAAATAGATTGTATATCTGATGGAACTAAGACTATGTTTACTCACAATCTCTTTTAACCCGATATCAATTAAAATGTTACTTTATCTCTCATTCACCTACAATATTATTATATTATTAAAATATTTAATACAATTAAAAATAATATTTATCTCTTCTAAATATATAATTTTAAAATTTCTTAAAATAAAAAAAGTGCTTCCCATTATTTTTAAATAGAATATAAGCGCAATATAATGGAAATTCGAGGCAAAAAAAATATATTTTCGGTATTTTTAATTTAATATTTATATTAAATTAAGATTGAACCTTTACTTTAGGTAGCTATTGACCTTTTAGACCAGCTTTTCCAATTTATGTACATCAAATGACTCCCGTTAATTTTATTTATTTTTATAGAAAAACAAGTAATTGTAAAAATGTCTAAATTTAAACATATCTATAAATAAAAAAAAATATTATTTTAATATTTTTTTATTACATTAAAAATGAATGTTAAAAAAATTATTAAATATATCAAATATTTTAATAATATAATTAATATTAAAATTGTTAAAATAGAGTAGTAGTTGGAATTGAATATAAGGGGGTGTTTGAGATTGCTTATTTGAAACAATTTGTACTTTTTTATAAAATCATTTATTAACTTATTATAAGTCAGAAGAGTTTAAAACTTCTTTAAAAACTTCTTATTACCGGTTTGGTATCAATATAAGTTGTTTATTCGAACACTTAAAAGTGTTTATTACCAGTGTCATATCAAAATAAGCCAATAAGTTATTTTTACAAGCAATACCAAACACTCCTCTAATTCTCTTTAAAAAAAATTAATTTTAATATTTTATATTAAAAAATGATTTAATTAAAGCAAGTAATCTGCGTTTTGCTTCCATTCCTGCAGATAACGCTTCCCCATGGGATTCTCCGCCACTCGCTACCTATAAGTACCTCCACTCTTATCTTCTCTTCTCCTCCATTCATTCCCGCCAACCATGGCCGCTGATAACCTCCACCACCGCTCAAAGCCACACACCACCACCCTCCTCCAAAACCCCAACCACATTTCCATCACTAATTTTAACCTCAAGCATAACAATAATCATCATGATTCCAGCACCTGGTCCTTCGCCGATGCCTCCTTCCTACAATGGACGATTGCGGATGTATTCGGTGTCTTCAAGCACCATCCGATCCCCTGCTTCTTTGCTCTTTCATTGTTGTTTTTCATGGCGGTCGAGTATACGCTCCGGATGATTCCGCCATCATCTCCGCCGTTTGATATCGGCTTCCTCGCCACCGTACATCTCCACCGTATCCTCGCCTCGAGTCCTACTCTCAACACCATTCTCGCAGGACTTAATACGGTAACAATCATTCTCTGATCACAATTTTTTCAAAATCCGATTCGAAATCACGAATTAAACACAGATCTGATGTCAAATTGGCATGCAGAATAGATTCGATTGATTAATTTGTGATGTTAATTTGAATTTTGAAGGTGTTTGTGGCGATGCAATCGGCGTATATCATAGGGACGTTGGTGATTGAAGGGCGGCCGAGAGCCACCGTGGCGGCGCTGTTCATGTTCACTTGCAGAGGGATATTAGGCTATTCAACTCAGCTTCCTTTGCCGGAGGTAGACGTCGTCATTAATTTCAACCAATCTTCTATTTCAAAACGATACATTCACTCTGCACCGCTCGTTTTCGATAACGATTCTTTTCTAAACCACAAATTCACTTCTCGAGTCTCTATGGAAATAGAAATATATATATATATATATATATATATATATATATATATATATTTGGAGGTTCAAACGAGAATACCTCCATTTTACGAGAACACAAGAACATCCTTATCACATGTGATAATACGCGTGAGAGAACCTGGTGGTATACATACGTGTATATATATATATATATATATATATGTGATGCTATAACGAGTTTGTAACTTATGCATTATGAGTTGTACATAATGCTATGGATTTGGTGGGAAATTGATCCATTAAAAGGTGGCCATTTTCGTGGTAATAGTTGACAAATTGTGAAAATCTCTTAAAACGTGTCTCCCCTTTTCCCATTAAATAAGTCCTCTTGTAACGTCATAGGTGTCTCTCTCACACACATATATACATATAGAATTGGGTTATTACAACGCCTTACATTTATATAGTCAATACAACTCAATCTCAATTGTTTATTTAATTTGATGAATATGTAATTTTAAAGAAGTTTTGATTGTTTTCTAATATAAAATATTGATCATAATCAATGAATTTTATTCATCTTCTATAAATATATAAATCATAATACATGAACTCTTATCATTTTCATAAATATTACAATTTATTGGGTTGTACAAATACGATGAGTTGTATTTGTAACAAACTATATATATATATATATATATATATATATATTACGTGTTCTATAGTTAGAATCTCACGTGAGAAATTTAAAGTTGTGTCGAAAGCAAAGGCGTTTTACCGACCACCCATATCCATGAATGCTTTAATCGTGCAACATGCACAAGTTTGATGTGTAAAAACACCAAAGTAGAAGTTAAAAATGTTTGGTGTATGTGTTCAGGGATTTTTGGGTTCGGGTGCGGACTTTCCGGTAGGGAACGTGTCGTTCTTCTTGTTCTATTCGGGTCACGTGGCCGGATCGGTGATTGCATCATTGGATATGAGGCGGATGAAGCGGCGAGAGTTGGCGGTTCTGTTCGACACCTTGAACTTCCTACAAGTGGTGAGGCTTCTGAGCTCAAGAGGACACTATACCATCGACTTGGCTGTCGGAGTAGGTGCCGGCATGCTCTTCGATTCCCTTGCTGGAAAATACATGGACAAGTCTGCAAACATCTTATCTTGACCTCTTCGGATTCTTGATATTTGTACAATTACTCATTAGGATCGAGGTTTTTCAATTACAATTGGTTCCAACATCTTTTAGTTTTGTAACCTCTAATGTTCATGTGCATTCATCGTATTAGAATATGTGGAGCCTCTTTTAATTAGGGGTCGTTTACCAATTGCTTACCGACAGAAGGCACCAATCATATTTACTTAGGGGCCGTTTACCAATACTTACTCGGGTAAGTGCTTACCGGCAAAATCAAAACTATCATTTACTTACCGGAAAGATATTAGTTCACCAAAACGGTATCGTATGCAACAATTAACCTGGTAAGTGCTAACCGTTGTAAGAGTCGTCGCTGTCATTACCGTGTAAGACTCTCCGTCTTTGCCTTTAGCTCTTAGTGGGTAGGATTTTTGGTCCTTGCAATGTTGATTCGGTAAGATAATGTGACTTGGTAAACGCTTACCCGGATAAGCGTTTTGTAAATGCCCCTCCAGTCGAATAGGGACCATTTACAGGGTAAGGTTCTCAGTCTTTGCAAATTGCCATACTTACCGGGCAAGGTGAGAACATCCACAGTGGTAAAACCTTTAAGAAACCTCACGTGCCATAACTTCAATAAAACTCCACAACGGAGGTTCTTACAAAAACCTTACTTTTCATTTTTTTTTAATTTACAAAATATAATATACATATATGTAAATATATGTATGTATAGAAGCGATCAAATGCAAACCATCCATATTTGTATAAACTGTGCAAACCATCCGTATTTGTACAAACTGTGCAAACCACTACAATCCGTCGATTTCATTGTTTAATTTAATGAAATTGTTTCATGAAACTGTTTAATTTGATGAAATTGTTTCAGATATGATTATTATTATGTTTTAATGAAACTGTTTCATGTATTTTTCTAAAATTATGATAATATCTATAATTAACACATTCTACAACAAAAATGACTAATCAACATCTCATAATTACAAAAAATTTACAACGAACAATTTTTATTATAATAATTAATGCATCTTTTCTGTATCAATTTTAACTTATATGTTTTATATATTTATTAAAAGAAAATAAATGGTTAAGGAATAATAAAAATAATAACATAAATATAAGGTTTCATCTAACCGAATCCTTCACCTTGGGGTGCTCCGGTCTGTTTGTCAAAAATAAAGACAAATGATAGCCCTCTACTTTGCCAGACAGGAAACCCTTTTCAAACACCCCCTTCTATTCAGTTTGACTACAAACAATTCTACGTTCCACTTGACTCCTACCCATAGCGTGACATCGATCAACGAAATAGACCTCCTTCTTTCAGAATATATATATATATATATATATATATATATATATATAGGGGAGCGATCAAATGCAAACCACTCAATTTGTACAAACCGTGCAAACCGCATTCAACCAATCATAATTTTTCATTTTATTCATTTTTTTGTAATTATGAGAGGTTGATTAATCATTTTTATTGTGGAG